TGGCCTCTGACTCTTTTCAAGTGTCAGCTTCTAACATCCTTCTTCTATCTTCCTCCTCCCCTTTCTTAATTTCTCTGTATCCCACCTCATTAGCTTCTACCCTTAGACTTGGGATTGTGTTCTTTGAGCAAATATCCCATTTTGAGATTCTAACCAAGGGAAAAATACCATATCCGATCTTTATAATTAGGTAAAGTCAATAGCTCTCTTTTATCAATGCTCAGTCACTTCAGAGAACTTGATCTCTTACAATATACTGTAAAACATTTCTCTTCTCGAAAAACTTTTATTACTTTGCCTTTAAAATATGTGCATGCATGCACATGTGCATACACACACACTCGTATATATCTGGCTTCCTCTCTTTCTCGACAGTCTTGCATCTGCCATTACCTTACTTGTTATTAGATCCCCAGCACTAGGGACAGCGGCAACTATGACAACCATAAGGTTGTCATCAGCATTAAATGTAATAGCACAGATACAACTCAATTTTAACTGATTGTTGTGTGGGAGAAATTAAGCCCAAGGGTACCAATATTTTCAAGAGAACCCAGATTTCTATGTGAAATAACCTTATTTTTAAGGTTTGCAACAAGTTTGAAAATTAAAAAGTGCATGTTGAAAAACATGCCTAAGCTCACTCTGTGAGCCGTCAATCTGCAACCTCTGTTCCAGAACGCTTGTATAGCACTGCCAATGGTTCCAGTGTGCATCCTGGGACTTAAAGGACTATATACCTGTAGGTTCATCTTGACTGTACTCTGAGCATCTGGCAGTGTCTGTCACATAGCAGGTACACAATAAATATACCTTGAATGAATGAGTTGCATGTGCATCTCCTTTTACAGTTAGATTTATTCATCATTATTTAATAGAATGTTTGGAAAAATTTCGGTTTCATTCTTAGGTTGGTTCCTGTTAAAGGTCTGCCATTGGTTTTTCCAAGCTGTTAAATGTTGCTATTCTTAGTTCTTTGGTTTTTTTTTTCTTTTTTTTAATTTTTAAGTCATGTTTATTCTATTACAGTTGTCTGAATTTTTCCCCCTTTGCCTCCCTCCACCCATCCCACCCCTACCCCCACTCCCACAGTCAATTCCCACTCTGTTGTCCATGTCCATGGGTCATTCACACATGTTCTTTGTCTAGTCCCTTCTCCTTCTTTCCACCACTGTCCTCCTTACCCATCCCCTCTGGTCAATTTCAGTCTGCTCCCTGTTTCCATGCCTGTGGTTTATTTTGTTCATTAGTTTATTTTGTTGAATAGATTCCACTTATAGATGAGATCATATGGTATTTGTCTTTCACCAACTGGCTTATTTCACTTAGCATAGTATTCTCCAGTTCCGTCCATGTTGTCACAAAAGACAGGAGTTCTTTCTATTCTTTTTCTTTCTTTCTTTCTTTTCTTTTTCTTTCTTTCTTTCTTTCTTTCTTTCTTTCTTTCTTTCTTTCTTTCTTTCTTTTTCTTTCCTTTCCTTTCCTTTTTCTTTCTTTTTTAAATACAGATTGATTTTATTTTTTTAAATGTCAAAGTCAATTATAAAATATTAAAAAATTTAAAACCATTATAAAGTCTCAGCAATACAGTTTGTTTCAAAATATGCTGGATGCATTCTGCTTGTGTCAGACATGGTCACCATTCCTTCAGCTGACCTGTCATCAGTTCTGTTTTATGGCATCATCCTTTTCTACAACATAACATTCCCAATGCAGAGAAAATGGTGTCACTGTCTAAATAATAATAGGACTAGTCCAGGATTGGTTATTCCTCATCAGAGGATCTTTCTCAAACCGTAGAGCATAATGGAGACGGTTGTTTCTAATAGTTGATTCATTCACTCAAATATGTCATTGAAAAAAATCATTGAGAGCATACTTGTGTGCGTGGCAGAAAGACTAATAAAATACAATCTTTAATTTCAAGGAGCTTACAGCAAATAAAACAGATAATAAGAGTACAGTAAAATATGTACTATAAAGGAAATATACACAGGAAAGGCAGTATAGCTCAGTGGTTAAGGGTACTTCCCAGGTTCCAAGCTTGGCTTCACTACTTACCAGCTATTTCAGCAAGTTACTTAACATGCAGTTTGGTTTTCCTATCTGTAAAATGACCTGTAAGGGAATATTACCTGATAGGATTAATATGAAGATTTAAGTGAATTAATATGTGAAAAATGCTTAGAATAGTGTTTAGTATGAAGTAAGTACTCAGTAAATGTTGTTACTATAACTGAAGGTACACTTAACCCTGTGTGTGTGGTTGGAGTGTGGAGGTAGCTAGGTAAAGAGAAATAGAGACAGGAACTAATTATTGATGTAAATCCTTAAGATTTATTTCCTTAGCAAGTTTCTACTGGATATTTACTATGCACCATGCACTACATAAGTAAGTGTAAAGCAGTAGGGGCTGGAAAATATAGAAGAAAAACTTCCTAGGCTATGAAAGGAAAAGTTCAAAGTCATATAGATATGAGAGGTTAAGGCAAGTTCTTGTAAGTGCATAGAACTCAATGAGGCAAAGAGTAGGGTAAGACTTGAAGAGGGGCAAAAGGTGATAAGAGAAAGAAGTGGGGGTGAAGGTGTCAGATTGTAAACAATCTTGAATATCATACTATGGCATTTGAAATTTATTCCATAGACACAAGTTGGCAAAGAAGGTTTTAAGCAGGGGAGTGATGGGATCAAATCTGTGTTCTTAAAACATAACCCTGGTGATAATATTAACCTGAGCCAACTCAATTTTCTTTAGGAAGTAAAACCTCCTGCAAAACTCCTTATCAGAGATTGGCAGGACTGATTTCTATGCAAATCAACTAACGAGGTTTGAAATAAAAGCACTTACAGATTAAGAAGTGAAAATGAGTTTTCTATTTATGCTGTATAAATAATACTTTGGTTTGAAGCATGAAGTATTTATTACAAAAAAGAAACACCTGCTAATACATGGGACTTTGAATGAAATAACCACTCTAGCTTGGCCCTTCTGTATCAATCTCATTTTTCTGTAACTATCTCATTTTGGGTGTGTGTGTGTGTGTGTGTGTGTGTGTCTCATTCATTCATTTAACCAACAAACATTTATTGTGCCAGACACTGCTCCAGGCACTTGGGATACAATAATGAACAACAAAAACAAATAAAAGATACCTACCCTCTGCAATACAGAGAGGAGGATCATATACAATAAGGAAATTATATGATATTAAAAGGACAAAGTATTATCGAAATTTAAAAAAATCAAGGAGAATAAGGAAAATTGGGATTGTTCATTCAAGATAGGAATCATAAGATGGTGACTTCAACAAGGAATGAAACTGCAAAACCCTTTGCAGTGTAAAATTCACTATAAACTCTATGGTGGGTGCAAAGTTCTGTCACTGCACATAGATCTAAGAAGCAAAAAGAGGGTTACCCTGATAAATTTTATATATATCATGCTAATATATATATAAAATTTCTGTATTAGCATGATTTATATAATTATAACATTCATGCATGATTTATGAAGATTGCATAAGTCTATTTTAAACAATGTGATGTGAGCAAGGCTTAAGATGGACTGAAACATATTCTGCCCATTACTTCTACAATAAACAGCTAAGGGGTTTGGTGGTGGTGGTAGTATGTGGGTGTGTGTGTTTTGGACACCATCTCCTGCTTGGAACAGAGCCTGCGAGAGCCCTATTCTTCTACAACTTGTCCTGATAACAGCCGAAACCAGCAGGAACCTCGATTTTTTTTCTTAACACAAAAACAAACAAATCTCCTTCAGCAACCTAGTACCATAGAGTGGTGTCCTTCACCACTAATCTGCCCTTTATGTAGGCCTGACTGCAAAGGGAGAATGCCACCTACCGAATCGTCCGCGCCAGCCAGCCAGCCAGCCCTGCAAAGTGCAGCAACACTCAACCTGGTCGGCTCGAAATCCCTTCCCTCTGATTATTCTTTGGCCTTAAAAATTTTTGCCACTATTGGGCTGACAGGAAGTTATGCTCTCGGCACAGTATCTGATAAACACTTCCACATATTGTAGCCTGTTCAATAACTAAGCCAAATTTCAGTCCACTCTCCGCCTGTATTTTCCTTCAGTGCGCTTTCACGTTTGGAATGCCCCTGTCTTTGCTGCGCGCAGACACCGGAAACGGCTGGTGTAAATTGTGCAGGGGCTGGCGATGGGCTGCTGCAGAAGCCAAGGAGGGTGACTAGGGGCCGGGGTAATGTTAGGGAATGCACAAGAGGTCAGGCGATGCCGTGGGCTTCCAAATGTGTACAGCCGCGGCACTCTGCGACGTGCACCTCCATCCCGAGGCTTCCAGGGTGGGGCTGGGGACTAGGGTGGGGGTCGCCTATGCAGTCCGCTGAAAGCGAGACAAAAATCCCTGCAAATCCTCCGGTCAGGCTGAAGTCACCACAGCTGCTCTGATGCACGCGCTGCAGCGGCGCCATCCCCCGCGGGCGCAGCGCGGAAAGGGATGGGGTCAGTGCGAGTGAGCTGGGCGGTGGGAGAAGCGCATGTCCGTGCACCGAAGGCCCCGGTTCGTGGCACCAAACCGTGAGCTCCTTCGTGCTGGACCCACTTGGAGTGGCGGGCTGAGAAGGTCAGTCGGTGGTCTTTGCCCTAACACAAATTCAGAAAAATGCCGGCCGCTGCGCCGCAGGCCGAACGGCCGCTGGGAGTTCCCAGCTGGAGGAAGGCAGTCGGGGGCGGTCCCAGCGCGGGGCGCCCTGCGCGGAGGGGCGGGCCCGAGGCGGGGCGGGCCGCGGCGGGCGCAGGCAAGCGGGCGTCGCTGCAGTTGCCTCCAGCCCGCGGTGTCTACTGCAGGCGGTGGTACATGGCCCCGACGGGAGGCACGCTGTGCGCACCCGGAGACTGGCTGCCTGCCTGAGCGCGGCGGCTGCCTCGGCACCGCGCGTCCTCGCCCCTCCGGCCGCGGTCCTGCGGCTATGACCGCGTAGCCTCCTCCTGGGCTGGGATTTACTTGAAAGTCTTCTTCATGGAAGCGATGTCCCCCCAGCAGGAGACTCTTGGGGGGCAGCCGGGGCGCTCCTCCTCCCTGACAGGAATGTCTCGGATCGCTGGAGGCCCCGGCACCAAAAAGGTGAGGACGCAGAGAGGGACCCCGCGCCTGCCGCTGCCCCGCCGCCTCGGCCTCAGCGGCAGCAGACCCACTCACCGCGCGCGTCCTCCGCGCAGACCACTGGGGCGCGGGTGCAGGACGCCGTGGGGACTTAACACTCGAGGCTGGCGGCCCCGCTGCGTTAGTTCTAGAACGTTCCCGCCTTACTCGTCCTCCCAGCTGCACCGCCGTCTGCCAAATCACCCTGGTACCCTTCGCGTCTAGAGTCGTAATCCCGCTCCGAGCAGACCAGCAGAGCCCCTCATCTCCATCCGCCGCGGGGTCTGCAGGCAACCCAGACGCGAGCCGCTCGTGGGGCCCCGGCCTGGGGCATCGCCTTTTTCCGCCCCCTCCGGGGGCTTGGCCCCTGGATCTCCCCCGAGGTCCCCCGGGAGCTCACCGTCTCTTGACGGGGTCATCCCCGAGGTCAGCAGGGCTGGAGGCGTCCGGCAGGACGCGACCACCCGCGATGAAGAAGGTAGGCGGCGGAGCTATGGGCCTAAAGGGTTCAGCCCCCTCACCTGGATGAGGCATCCGCAGAATTTGGGTTGAGTGGGGAGAGGTTGTGGGGAGGATTCTTGCATCCAGTGCGGGGCTCACGGAAAGACTCCGGGTCTCCGAGGTGGTGGTCAGACTTATAGGTGAGTTAGGGGCGCTAACGGTCTACACTGCGGGGGCGTGGAGGTTTGGTTCGGCCTAGAACCGGGCCAGGTGGGGCCTGTGGGCCGCGGTGCAGGGTCGAATGGGCCGAGGCCAGGGGCCTTCACCCTGCTCTTGTCCCCTAGCCCTCGGGACTTGACGGGGCTGGAGAGGGGTCTGGTTGTAGCTGTGGGCGTGGGGGCGGCGCGCGCTTTCCCTGTCAAAGCTGAAGGGAGGGAGGCGGGCAACAACTTGTAGCGTTCCGTTAGGATAAACGCAGCCGCGGTGCGGCGTGCTGATTCCGATCAGGTCAGGTTTCTCTGGAACGGTTCCCTTAGCAAGTGCACGTGGCCGCCGCGGCCGGCCTCTGCTGTTCTCTCTGAGGAATTGATTTGGGTGTTTCTAGCCCTTGGGTATTTGGGCTCTTGCGCCTCCCCACCGCGCCCCTCCCCCAAGACTTTCAGATATTTGGCCATTTTTACTCTGTCCTGGTGGTTCCCTTCCAGTTTTTGTGGAAACAAATCGGATTAAAGGGATCAATCAACTCTGTTTTAAAGAACCATCTTAATGCATTGCATTTATATAATTAGAGCCGTAAGGGGTTGCGCAGGCTCCCATATTGTCCTGATCTTACTGCATTTCACGACGCTTCCCACCAGCATCCTGGGTTGGCTAGAGGTCAGTTGAAGAGAGGTGAGATCCGTGCGCGGAGTTTAGAGGTGTGCATGAGCTCCCAAGGACCTTGACCTTGTCGCAGAGCCATCTAGGAATGAACTTGATGTATTAGCTGTAGTGTCTACTCAGCCTGTGATGTATTAGGCTGCGGTTTGTCCTTGTCTTTTTCCCCGTTTTTCCCCTTCAGAGATGCGGGGGGCGGGGGGGGGGGGAGGGAGAGAGGGAAGGAGGGAGGGAGGGAGGGAGAAAGAGGGAGGGAGGGAGGGAGGGAGGGAGGAAGGAAGGAGAGAGTTTACCAAGTTAACACTACTTTGGGGAAGGTAAATGAATATTTGGAAATCAACATGGATTTTAAAGCAGTTTTTATCCTTGTAAACGTAAGGAATTGGGGGAAATCAGAGATTTATATTCCTGAATAATTCTCTTCTTTTTAGCTGAGTAATTTAAGCTTAAGCATACTGGCAAAGGAGAAGGCAGTAAGAGTGGCTTCATCATGTATAAGGTAGTATTTGTCTGATACGTTTAAGGTTGGTTTGCACCTTAGCCATTGTCCTTAAGATGCTATCCATTATACACCATAATGGGTTATTACATTCCCAATCTAGTCTTTTCCTTTTCTTTAAAGGGAATAGATTTTGCCAATCTGGTCTCTCTACAGCTTTTTACTTCCTTTGGAATAGGAGTGAGGTTGAAGAACTGTTCTGTTTTTCTTTTAATGTTTTCCAGAAAAGTGCATCTCTGTTTATTTTCAACATTAATAGGCATATTTGTTTGATTTCGGACCTCTGTATTAGCAATAGAAAGTAAAAATAAAATATTTCCAAATTGTAGCTCATAGAATCATTGTCATTTTTACTTTTGTGAACCAGTCTTCATGTATTCCAAATACTCACCAGATTGATTTTGTGTTTCTTCTTGCCTTTTTGGTATTTGGTAGTCTTAGTGAGTCATGAGATACTTCTAAAAAAAAAAAAAAAAGTCTACTTACATGGTTGTAATGTTAATTACTAAGGCTTGGGTCAATGTTTAAATTGCCAGTTATAATCAACATTTAAAAAAATGAAATAGAAAATATTAGTACATTAGTAAGGGTAAAGGCTGTTTTGTATAACTTTTCCTCTGTTTCATATATGTATGTGTATTTTGGGTAGTGACGTAAAATGTATTTCTTTCTGAATGGTCAAAAATTTTAAAGGCAGGTCTATTGGCCAGACCATTGTATGAAATAAGTTCACTTGGCTTTTAGTTCTAGTTCTGTTATTATCTCAATGATCTTGAGGAAAATCACTTAACTTGTTTCAGTTTTCTCATTTTTAAAACAGGAGTCAAAGAGATAATGCTGGATAAAAAGCATATAGATGACAATTGTATCTTATACTCTGTGAAAATAAGGTGATTTTTTAAATAAGAGGAGTTAAAGAGAAATAGCATCTTTCAACTTAGTCATCCTGAGATTCTGTTAACCCAGTGGTACTGTCATTGCCTAGAATATATATCATATTCCCAGAAACTACTGTCACTTGAGGCAGTTTTATACCGTGTGGTGGAATTTAGAGTCTGATGACCTAGGTTCAAGTCTCCATTGTATTGGCACTAACTTTCTGATATAGGTAAGTTACTTAACCTTTTTAGCTTTCTATTTGTAAAACAAAAATAACAGTAATACCTACCTCCTCAAGAGGGTTGGGAAAATTAAATGTGACAGTGAGTGAATAATGACATATAATAAGCCCTCAGTAAATGTTAACTATTATTGTTTGTAGTTTCCCACATATCTGTAATTCATACTACTGTGTCCCAGTTCAAACCAAAAATCTAGGATTCATTTTCAACTCCTCTCATTTCCTCACCCTACAACAACTATCAGAAAGGCCAGTCAAATATTACTTCAAAACATATTTTGAATTTATCCACTTCATCTCCCCTGCTGCCACTATGGTCCAAGCCAAACCACCATCTTTCACTTGTACCTTTGCAAAACTCCCTAACTTGTCTTAATATCTTTCTTGCTCTTGCCTGATCCAGTCTCCATGTAGTGGCAGGAGAGTGCTGCTAAAAATATAAATTGATCATGTTGCTCACCTGCTTAAAAACCTGTAGTGGTTTTTCATCCAATTTAGAATAAAATTCAGACTCCTCTTAGGCCTCTCTGCTTCTCAACCTCATCTGAACCTTTGCCACTTTGTTGTATTCTCCAGCCACATGGGCTTTCTTTTTCAAACATCAAGTCATCAGTTCATTTCTATTCTGAGTCCTTGGTTTTGCTATTCCCTCTGTTTCCTCCACAGGTATTTGCAGTATTGATTTTTTTTATGCTATTCAGACATTAGGTCTTCCCCAGAGGCCTCTCCTAACTACCTAAGTGGAAGTTGCCCCTTAATCATCTCTATACTTTGTTTTATTTTCATCTTAGCATTCATCTTTGTCTAATATTTTCTCATTTATTTCCTGGTTATGTTACCTGAATTCCTCGCTGTAAGAATAGGGACCTTATCTGTATTGTTTAAGGCTGCCTCCCCAGTTCCTAGGACAGTGCTTTGTATTAGGTACTCAGTGTTAGTTGGGTTATGTACAGCAGTGAACAGAAAAGATACTGGTCCTTGTATTCAGTGTTTCTGATTTAGAGCAGGATCAGCAAACATTCTTAAAGGGACAACAGATAAGGTAGGCTTACAAACCGTAAGATCTCTGTTGCAGCTACCCACTCTGCCATTGTAGCGCTAAAGCAGCCAGAAACAATATGTAAATGAACTGGCATAGCTGTGTCCCAATAAAGCTTTATTTAGAGAACAGGTGGTGGGTCCCTGGTATATAGTTTGCCTGGTCTAGGGCATCATTGTTGGCTAGAACTTTCTGTGGTTATGGGACTGCCCTTTATCTACATACAATGTCTGATTCGATAGCTACTAACTACATGTGGCTGCTGAACACTTGAAATGTGGCTGGTACAACTGAGGAACTAAAAATTTTTAACAGCTTCATTGAGTTATAATTGACATGCAATGAATGGTGCAAATCTAAAATATATAAATCAATAAATTTTGACATATGTATACACCTGTGAGACCATTACAGCCACAGTCAAGGTACTGAACATATTTGTCACTGCCAAAAGCTTCCTCATGTCCCTTTCTAATTCCTTTGTTCCCTCTCTGTTCCTAGGCAACTATAGATGAATTTGCGTTCTCAAGAATTTTATATAGACTCATTCTGTGTATTCTTTTTTGTATTCTCTAATTCAATATAATTACTTTACAATTCATCCCTGTTTTTGCATGTCTCAGTAGTTCGGTAAATCGCTGACCAGTATTTGATCATATGGATAAACCACAGTTTGTTTATCCATTCACCTATTAATGGGTATTTGGTTAGTTTCAGATTTTGGCTATACAAATAAAGCCTCTGTGAACATTCATGTACAAGGCTTTGTATGGACTCAGGCTTTCATTTCTTTCGGGTAAATACTTAGGTGTTTAATGGCTGGGCCATATTTTAGATGTATGTTTAATGTAAGAAACTGTCAAAGTATTTTCCAAAGTGGTTTTAATTTCCACCAGCAGTGTGTAAGAGTCTAGTTTCTCCACATCTTCACCAACACTTATTATCTATCTTTTTTATTATAACCATCCTGGAGAGTATAAACTGGTATCTTGTTGTAGTTTTGATTT